GTTTGTAAGTTTGTAACTCCACGCGGCACGTGTTATTATGTCGCGTATCCCGTCGTGTATGACCTTGAGACTATACTGTTGTAACGCATTCGCCCCACCCCGCTCACCTCTCGTAGAGAACAATATTTTCCAACCCGTAGACGCGCGCTTATCATTATATATATATATAACAAATTTTTATTGTAATTGACACAGCCCCGCGTCGTTTTACGCCGCGGTGCAAAGTCCAGCAAGTGCCGCACGGCCGACGACGTCCCGCCGCTATACCTTAGTCTTCTTCCCATTGTCAAAATAGCATCGTCAACATACTGATCCGCACTCGCACACCGTCTTCATCTACGCTGCTAACCTATTGACGCCCGAGGATCACGCCGGACATCGCGTTTTCGACGCCAGCAAAAGTGCCGCGATATTATGCGAAAATTATATATTCCTACCGCCACCGCTAATATTAATATTTATACGTATATACGTATATTTTAATATTCATTTATATATTCCTACAGCCGACGCCTCTGCCGCCGTATATGCCTCGTGTATAATGTTCCCTCCGCCATGCCCGCCCACATAAACACGGCTATACCTCATGCATGATACGTTTACGTACTTAAGTCCCTTTAAATATATATATATTCTAATTACTATTAAAACNTTATATATATATATATATTCTAATTACTATTAAAACTTATATATTAATACACTTTATTCTCATTAAGAGATATGTAGTGTATTCATTCCGATTACGGAGGATGATTCTCGTATCGTTATTTTTCGTCACTACCTCCACGTTACGCGTCTGCTGCTTTCCTTGGATGTGGTAGCCGTTTCTTAAACTCCCTCTCCGGAATCGAACCCTTATTTCCCGTTACCCGTTACAACCATGATATTGATATTAACTACTATCATAACATGATACTAAAAAGTGAAAAATAAATATAGTTTAAAAAAACTAAAAAACACGCTCTTAAAGCACATCGAACTAAAAAGTTAAAAATAATTTTTAACTTTTTAGTTCGATGTGCTTTAAAAGCGTGTTTTTTAGTTTTTTTAAACTATATTTATTTATTGTTACTTCAATGTGTACTTTCTATAACAGTTCCTATATAACCCACAATCATCTTGTGTGTGGTTCCTACCACCTTTCTGAGGTCACCACCTCAAAAAGGTGGGAATTGTGCATTTTACATTTTCCTTTAGGTCCATAAAAACACTCTTTAGTTGAAACCGTTGCTAAGGATGACAGTTTCCCTTATTCCTTTCCTTATTTCATTTCTTTCCTTTCAATCATAGAGTATAGTGACTGTTTATTTCTCAATTAAATTTAATTATAATAAAAATTTATTTAGTAAGCAGCATTAATTTATTATAATACTGAATAGAATTATTGAAATCTGTAACTAATATCCTAATTTTTTTAATTTATCTCCTTTCTTAGTAATTGAATTTTACCAAATTTGTCATTAATTAGTTGTGTATCCAAAAGTGATTATATATTTTTAATAATTTTTATAATAATTTTATTTATGTAAAAACATTTTTATAGCCAGACATTGTTGGAACAAATCATAGAACAAGCACAACATTTTTTCATGAGATTACGTACTGAATATGTCTTAGATACATTGTCTAAAGAGGTAAAAAAATAATTTTTACAATAGAAATCATTTTATGTAATTTACTGTTGAATTAATAATTTGTTTTTTTTTTTTTTTTTTTTTTT